TGGCTTTGTGGCTTTGATTGGATCAAGATAGTGTTGAGGTTACATGATCAGTCTGATATGTCAGTTTTTGAAGTTTGCCTTCGATATTAAAATCAAAGCCTAAACGTTATGGATTCCACTGATTACATCTTAACATCGTTTGTCTTGAAACAATGTATTTGGTACAGACTATTTTCTCTGCATTTCCATTTCAAAAAGAATATTGGGAAGAAAAACACATTACCTCAAGGTATGATATATACATTCTTAATCACTTGTGAATTTTTGATGACATGAATTTAAATTTACATTGAGAGGCATGATCAGAAAAGTACATTCAATATAACAAGCCCATGCATGATTTAATATTCAGTTTGACCAAGGGATGAATGATCCAATATTCAGTTTGATCAGGGGGATGCATGATTTAATATTCAGTTTGACCAAGGGATGCATGATCCAATATTCAGTTTGACCAGGGGGATGCATGGTCCTATATTCAGTTTGACCAGGGGATGAATGATCCTATATTAAGTTTGATCAGGGGGATGAATGATCCTATATTAAGTTTGATCAGGGGGATGAATGATCCAATATTCAGTTTGATCAGAGGGATGAATGATCCAATATTCAGTTTGACCAGGGGGATGCATGGTCCAATATTAAGTTTGACCAGGGGATGAATGATCCAATATTCAGTTTGATCAGGGGGATGAATGATCCAATATTCAGTTTAACCAGGGGGATGCATGGTCCTATATACAGTTTGACCAGGGGATGAATGATCCTGTTAAGTTTGATCAGGGGGATGAATGATCCAATATTCAGTTTGATCAGGGGATGCATGATCCAATATTCAGTTTGACCAGGGGATTTAATCCCAGGGATGAATGATCCAATATTCAGTTTGATCAGGGGGATGAATGATCCAATATTCAGTTTGACCAGGGGGATGCGGTCCTATATTCAGTTTGACCAGGGGATGAATGATCCTATATTAAGTTTGATCAGGGGGATGAATGATCCTATATTCAGTTTGATCAGGGATGAATGATCCAATGTTCAGTTTGATCAGGGGGATGTATGATCCAATATTCAGTTTGATCAGGAGATGCATGATCCAATATTCAGTTTAACCAGGGGATGAATGATCCAATGTTCAGTTTGACCAGGGGATGCATGACTTAATATTCAGTTTGACCAAGGGATGCATGATCCAATATTCAGTTTGACCAGGGGGATGCATAGTCCTATATTCAGTTTGACCAGGGGATGAATGATCCAATATTCAGTTTGATCAGGGGGATGCATGATCTAATATTCAGTTTGATCAGGGGATGTATGATCCAATATTCAGTTTGACCAGGGGATGAATGATCCTATATTCAGTTTGACCAGGGGATGAATGATCCAATGTTCAGTTTGACCAAGGGATGCATGATTTAATATTTAGTTTGACCAGGTGGATGCATGATTTAATATTTAGTTTGACCAGGTGGATGCATGATTTAATATCCAGTTTGACCAGGGGATGGATCCTATATTCAGTTTGATCAGGGGATGCATGATTTAATATTCAGTTTGACCAGGATGTATGATCCAATAGTTTGACCAGGGGATGCAGTTTGATCAGTTTGGGGATGTATGATCCAATATTCAGTTTGATCAGAGGATGCATGATTTAATATTCAGTTTGACCAGGGGAATGCATGATTTAATATTCAGTTTGACCAGGTAGATGATCCTATATTAATGATCAGGTGGATGAATGATCCAATATTCAGTTTGACCAGGGGATGCATGATTTAATATTTAGTTTGACCAGGTGGATGAATGATTTAATATTCAGTTTGACCTGGGGATGGATAATATTCAGTTTGACCAGGGGATGCATGATTTAATATTTAGTTTGACCAGGTGGATGCATGATTTAATATCCAGTTTGATTCAGTTTGACCAGGTGGGATGCATGATTTAATATTCAGTTTGATCAGGGGATGTATGATTTAATATTCAGTTTGACCAGGAGGATGTATGATCCAATATTCAGTTTGATCAGAGGATGCATGATTTAATATTCAGTTTGACCAGGGGATGAATGATCCAATGTTCAGTTTGACCAGGGGATACATGATCCAATCTTGATTTTGATCTGGGGATGCATGATCCAATATTCAGTTTGACCAGGGGGTGCATGATCCAATGTTCAGTTTGACCAGGGGATGCATGATTTAATGTTTGGCTTTCATGAACCCTACAATAATCAGCAAGGGATGGCTTATTAAATATATCTAAAGTGACCTGCTTGGCATGTATAGTCAAATAATTTCATAATAATGTGGAAAGATGTGCACTTCTTCATTTCATAACTTGTAAGATGCATGACTAAATACATTCAGTTTAATATAGTGGTCATTTTGATACTTCATTGGATAAAAGAAATTGTAATGGTGAATATGAAATTCTTTTGATTCTCACACAGCTGCTTCGAGAAACTGTTTTTCCTCAAATAGTGGCAAATATAGAATGTCTTGTAGTATTTGAATAAATGAACTTTTACTATGTTGATTCAATTGAACATATTTGAAAACTTTTGAGGTAAAATTGATGTCTATTTGTATTTATCACTGTATTCATTTAAACTTTGCATGAGGTCAAGAAATCTTTCGGAAGGGAAGTTTAAGCTAACACTCATACAAATATACAAGATTGGCACTGTTTACTGAAGGAGGTCATGGAACCAAACTGAAAACAATTGTATTCTGGTATTTACATTTCTCTGGCTATCAAATAAAATTTTTAATGTAATTATCTCAACTAGTTGAATTAGGTGAACCTACATACATATGTTACAGGATCAGTGGAGATGTCATATATTAACAATCCTGTCCTGTAATAGGTCATTGTGAATAATTACTTTATGATTACACAATGCCATTTAGACAGTGGTCAAATGTAACATGTTATATTTGGGATTACTCTTTCTTAGTAAAGTACAAATTCTAGTACTTTTTTGGTTGAGTCCCATCCGGTATTCGAACCCACTGTGAGGGTGTGGGTTCGAATCCCGGATGGGACTCAACTCCAAAAGTACAGAATTTGTACTTTACAAAGAAAGAGTAATCCCAAATATAACATATGTTAAATTACTTTATGGTTGAAGCATCACTGACAATTTCTATTTTCCTACAACTCTTTGATATTCCTGCTTGCACAGCTGTTCATTCTGGCCCATAATAGTTCAAACTGCAAATAACTTTCCATGGTAACCAAGAACTCATGTTTAAAAAAACCATTTACCAATCCCTTATTTACACATTTTGTACACCATGACATATTTTCATTATGATCTGTTTTTTATGTTGGCTCTCTAGTAACAAGCAAACAGCCCATTAGATATGTAAGCTCACTGAAGTGTACTAAAAAGGTTACGGGAGTTTACTGAGCCGAAACTTGAAATTCAGGTATGTAAGATATTAACTTCAGCAACAAGAGACCGGCATACACCAATCGTGATCAGACTTTCTCGGCCACTACACCATGACAAACCATCATGAAATGAACTCATCAACCTATCTCTGGTAGCCAGGATTTAGTGGGACCAACCTGACGTGGATTTAATATCAAGCGCAGGAATCATGTCTACAAATGACTGATGTTTGTGTTTGAACAATACAACACTAAGTCAAATCCATCAGAGAGAGATAAATTTAGACCTAACCTAATGTTTTCATCAAATAAACCTCATGATAATGATCCCATCTCCTTAATCCTGTCTTTTCAATTTGCCTGCAGCAGGGATGGAGTTTGTTGACTTTACATAAGCATGTATTCACCTCTAACTTGACAATCACCAGACTGTGACAAAGTGTCAAAATTAGACCTGTATTACTTTTCCCATGTCAAGAACTCACATTGTTCTGATGTCACGCTGAATGAATTGTTACACTATTCCTGACCTGTACCTGAGTGAGGTTGTACAGATTTGCTGCTGCACATGATGAATAATGACAATTAGAAACATGGGATGTGACCTTCTTTGTTCAGTTTTGTTGAGGTCAGTGATAACACCCTATCCTGTACACCAACCTGCTGTTTATGAAAAACATCCTGAACAATATCATAAATATGCACAAATGTAATCCTATAAAACATGACATAATTAACACAAAAAAATAAATTACTTTCAGATATTTGTAAAATATTTTTGAAACAAGTATTTCTTCAAAGCTATCAATACTGGCACTATGAAGCTAAAAACATTACCATAATGGTTGAACATGTAAAGATACATAAATGGATGACTTTTTGTAACTAAACATATTTTTTTGTCCATAAACATACCTTTGGTCAAGACCATATTTCTATCTATGGTTCCACGGGCCATAAATAGTGGTGCAGGTTAGTCCATTAGTTAGGGAGCCGGTCAGTGTGTTAGGGAATGTAGCATGCAGTTTGGAGACGAGAATGAGACAGACAGGTCAGGCAGCATGCAGCTGATCTCTCACCGAAGGCTCACACAAATGAAGGCCTTGACTGATTGACAGAGCAACACAAACTGTGAGGTCTGGTCTCCTGACTAGCTAGGGTAGTCCTGATCAGGGTAATCTGTAGATCTTTCTCCACACACACTACACTCTCCAGCCCAGATATCAGCAATCCCTCCAGCGAGTCCACTGTATATCATGCTCCACGTGTGTACACCATGTCCTCTTCCTTCCTCCTAGAGCACTCCAAGATTCTATTACTCATCCAAAATCCTGGTCTCCACAATCCTAAGCTACAATGCTGTGTGGTAGTGAAGTAAAATGTTGTCCAGTCGGTGTAGTAGAGAGGTGAATGGACTGGCTATTGTCAGCACATACTTCTCTTGGTTCACTGACAGTTCTAAATGGCAGGTCAGCAAATGGGGTCAGGCCTTGCTGTTTGCTCTACATTCACAATCTCCTGCCACTAACTCACTAAGAAAGCCTCATCCACTCCTTAGGTCACAACCCTCCACCAAATCACGACATCACCCCAAAAAATGTTTCAGGTGTTTCAAGGGATGGTCGCCTCAACAGATGTCATTGCACATGAGTAATCCTGTGGAAAATGTCCACATCCAGCGAGTTATTACGTGGCTGGCTATTTATAGAACATGCATAGTGCTGGTTATTGACCAGAATCAGCAGCAGAAGCAGTAGTGGAGGGAGGGTGGTGGTGGTGGAGTGATGGGGGTCTGTTGTTTGCTGTACCGGCCCTGTAACCCAAGCTGGTAATTGCCACACTAGATGCACATGTGATCCCCTCACAGGAGGAATAGTGGAACAATACCTGCCCACACAGTGTGATGATATATTACAGCCTTTTAAGTGGCAACGAAATACAGATCTATTTGTATAGGTGAGACCAGGCTGCTTGCAGATGTGCATGCTAATATTTTGGGAGTACTGATTGAGATAATGTAAGACATATAAGGACCTTTGTGTAATACTGTCTAATACATATAAAACACCAAAATAAATGTATGATTCAGGAAATATTGACTGAAGATGCTGCTGGTATTTTTAGAGATGACGAATCTCATTTGGTGACGCTAGTGTGCAGTATAAACAAGTCAGATCTTTTTAAACCTACAACCAAACAAATATCAAACTTTCTATTTGTAGTATTACAAATACCTATCCAAGTAAGCGAGTTTTAGTAACAGACAAATTGTGCAAATCAATAAATCAACTGAATGGTGGTTATAATCTATGTAAATCAATGAAAGTTATAAAATTTTCAGAGATCTATATTAGCTTTTGCAAATCTAAGTTATAGAACACAAATAGATCCATACTAATATTCAGACAATGAAATATCACAGATATCTTATTCAGACTTTTAAAAGTTTTGAAACTTTAGAAACTTTAGAACAATTATTTCAGTGCTTAATCATTTGCCATATTCTAATCACTGCACGATATATATGATATGTTCAATTTCCAGGTGGGAGATACAATTTGTGATGCATGATTCTTGATATGTAATTTTATTAATCTAATTGTACAGTTAATTCATGACATGTAGTAATGTATGAGGATTTCATTTACACATTTCCAATTTTCCAATAATAAGTCATCATCCATAATTTCCCTCAAGTGATGGGTGTGGATCTAGATCTAAATCAGAGACTCATGTACATGAGCTGGCCAGACATTGGAGTGCTCCCTCCACCAGGACACCAAACAACACATGCCTACAGACATTATTACATGCTTCACATAGGGAGGACAAACAAGTTATCTCATTTCTCACATGGCACCCTCCCTGCTAGATCTATTGGTTGTTACATAATCCAAACTTGGTCGTTGACCTGACCATTCACATCCTCCTGATAATGACCTCATCTTGTCTGTCTGGCTTTTGGATGTCATACTGTTTGTGTAAGTGCTTTATGATGCTGCATACCACATCTCAGTCAGATAAAGGGAAGGGGGCAAAGTATCATCTCAAGGGGCCCAGGGAGAGGTCTCCAGGGGGATGTTATAGATCTGGTATATCCCCCTAACATGGATGTAACATGTCACCAACTGGGGAATCAGGGGTGGAAATAACCCATTGCCCGACGTCCGAGTCCAGTGTTGTTTTCTGTCGGGCAATCTAATTTGTATATCACATTGTACCGGTGTCCAGTTGACTTTCAAATGTTAATTATGTTGTTTATTTAAAAGATCAACAAGAAAATCAGCCGATATGGTGGAAAAAATTACCAGGGCAAGTGATTTTACATGTGCCACTGTACCAGAGTACACTAGCAATTTTAAAGTTATTTTCACCCCTGGGAATGTGTTCACATTGCTGAGGCACGTACACACCCATGATAATTATCAAAGTATGTATATCAGTTGTCTCGCACCAAACATATGTAACTGAGAAATAAGTTAAGACTGCTGATAAACTAAGTGTAATCATTCCTTCACATACCAGTAACATAAAGACAAATGGTTACCCCCTAATGGTTGTGTCACTGAAATATGTGGTGACGCATTAAATTTGGGATAATTTCGTAGATAGGTGCATGAGGGTATGATTTTCCTTTTCTGAAAGCCAGGAGTCATCACAATGTGTGAGTGAGTGATCCATTCATGCACACTTCACCAGTATTGAGCCTTTTACACCAAATGTAACCTGTTTTAGTAGATAATCAAGGCTGCTTCTTCTCTAGCATCGACATTTTCTGTTTGCTTTTCATCAAAAGATTTTTCCCCCATCAAAACACAATGAAATGCCTTTAACTCATACTGCAGCCCTGACATGGGACCATCCATCGAATACACAGTCAGGTTTGAAGCAGAGTTCAAAGACAAGGCCAAACACATGGTCAACATTCGGGATATAGCATATCAGTACTCGACCCAACATTATTGAATCATAAGCCAAAGGATGTTCACCGGGATTAGTAAGACTGATTATTCATGAGGAGTATCTTCCATCAATCAGATCGGCAAATACTGATTCTCCCAACAAGTCACAGTGGTTGTGCTAAATGAGTCCCTGTTTTTCCATTATTCTGCTACTAATGACCAACATAAAGTTACACCATGAGCAGGCAGCGCTGATGGACAGCAGGGAAGTGGCCATGTGTGCGTGCCTGCAGTTATAGGATGGGCATCATCTGGATGATTTACTGTACAAGTATCCTTGGAATATGGTAAATACAGTAAGACATGGCGGAAAGCCTATGCAAACTTTCAGTGAGAGTGCAGGGTTTTGCATCACTTTTAGCAATACTGCTGCCATATGAAATGGGACAATATGGGCTTCACTCATTTTGAGAATCAAACCAAGATCTTCAGAGCAAGGACTGAAAACAACAGCTCCCTCACATTTCCTGCAAGTGTGCTTCTAACTGTCAGGGTCAAAAAGTAATGGCAATTAACAAAGAACATAATCCTCTATTTCTAACCTTAATTCCTAGTTCTTAAAAAGTGATCACGTTTTTCATATATAGTCAACTCCTAAACCTACCACCCATGAAGATCCGGGTTAGAACTGGTCTTCAGTAACCCATGCTTGTCGTAAGAGGCAACTAACGGGTGGTCAGGCTCACAGACTTGGTTGACTCGTCATTGTATCCCAGTTGTGTAGAAAATGCTCATTCTGTTCATCACTGGATTGTCTGGTCCAGACTCGATTATTTACAGACCGCCGCCATATAGCTGGAATATTACTGACTGTGGCCTAAAACTCAACTCACTCACTCAGCCAGTTGCATAGATTGATGATCATGCTGTTGATGACTGGATTGTCTGGTCCAGACTCGATTATTTACAGACCACTGTCATATAGCTCTAATATTGTTAAGTGCAGCATTAAACAACAAACCAACCAACCAACCTAAACCTACAACCATATCAAAGTCAGTGGTAAATATGTTTTCATTTTAGGCTAATAATTAAGATTCCTATATTTCTATAAACATAATACACATGGTTCTGATAGATTCTGGATTCACCAGGTCCTAGTCTATGAGAAACTGTGGAAATATCACTTGCCAAAATCAGTTTTGTAAATGTTAAATACATATCGATGGCAAGTAAAATATTAAACATTTTGGGAGTTTTGCTATATGTGAACCCTCTCTGGTTAGTTGATGTTAATTCCATCCCTGTACAGGGTGTTACAACAAGCATCAAATGCCCTAGTTTACATCATGTACACATGAGATCACTGCTTCTAACATGAGAAGCGGCAAAGTGATGACAGATTGATTTCTGCAGCTATGACTAAGGGCCTCCTGTCCAGCTGTTGCTACAAGTGTGGCAACCACATAGATTAAACTGTCCTATCACTCAGCCGTGTTGAGAGGTCACCCACTAAATGTCACTCACTAACATAGCCCACAAGAAAAGCTCAATTTTCCAACATTTTGAAAAACTGAAATGTAAACAAATTTAATCGACTGCCTCAGAAAGATTAAAAAGTTCCAAATGTGAAATTTTGACACTCAGGTAAATCCAATAATATTGTGTCACACCTGTTGATGGTTCTACAGGTGAAAATCGGTTGATTGCTAACAACTACCGAACAAAACATTTGCATTTTTGCAAAGAGGATTCTGTCAGTAGCATCTGGCCATATAGAAATCTGGTTCCACTTGAACTGTGATAAGTAAATTCAGTCACTCACCCAATTAGTACTGATCGGAATTTCAATATTAATAAAAATCATAACCTTTAAAACCTTAAAAAGACATACATAGCAACAGAACATAAATAAACAATGTGTAATCTTCACAACTGAAGAAATATTTGGCCAAACTGAGGTGGACAAGAAGTTTATACATCTGACTTACCTGAACTTACCAATGGCCACAACCAGTGTTCTTGTAAACTGTGTAGTGACTACTGACAAGCATGAATGCTTATAACTCAGGGAAGTTGACAATCACCGTACCTGTGTCCCAGTCATATAACAGGCCTGTCAGCTTCTTGTTGCTAGCACAGTGGATTAGGACATGGGATTGCTACAGGACAACCTGCCATACAGGAATCTCACCTGCTGATCATACCGGCCAGGCAGCTGATTTATCTCTACACAAAGCTGGAGGAGAACACTACCTAATGTTTACTATGGAATGTTTACTAACATATACTTACTGACTTGGTTCATGTCGGTTTCAATTAAACTGATTTATGTGTTATCATGGTATGTAGGACTAAGACTGACCATACAGGTTTCTTTGTCATAGTGGTGGCAAATGAAGACAGCATCCTGATATTGGGGAACCATTGTTTAGCAGTCCAGGGGCCAGTTTAACAAAGCTATCTTAGCTCTAAGATGATCTTATTCACATTCACAACACTGCTTTGCAGAATAGTGCCCAAGAGAGAGATCCATTAAGGGTCTTATAGCTATGACTAGTTTATAGAGTGGGACTTACAAGTAGTAGCACAAAGAAAAGGTGTCAAGTCTTGTTAGGATATCACTAAACTGTTCACATCATATTACAAGATAGAATGGCCAGTGGAACAAGTGTGATGTATTATTAACCTGCTTTGATATCTTAGTGTTGATACTTCATGTGCAGATAAGGCACATCTGAAGTTGACTGAAGAACTTGTTTGGTCCCTACAAAGAAATTCCTCAAAAGAAATAACCTACACGCGTCATTAGGACAATAATATGGATCAGACCCCCCGATCAGGGAGTAGTATTTCAGACATATATCACACCATCCTGTAAATAACCAAGTTAGCAGGGTTGATAGCAGTTGCATGAATCCATGACAAAGGTATATGGAGACAAAGGTATTTGGAGACACCTAACAAGGTCACAAAAAGTCACCACCCTATCATAGTTCTTGTCAGCCCTAACAAGCAGGAGACACTCCAAACCAACACTCTGAATCCCTGTAATATGGATCATATCCAACACCTGTATAGCTGGCTACAGGAAGACAATCTGTAGCCTGGCTGCTACAGTGTACCATCAAACCCAAACTGCATCTACCCATGGTAACAGGATACATCACAGGAATGCAAGTTTCAGTAATAACCACACAGTGGCCTAATCACACTATGGCCGATATATTGCTCAGTACTGGATAAAACCTGATCGACTCAGGCAATAATACCATGATGAAACAAAACTATCCTCCATCACCCCACTGTGAAGTAGCCATTTCCAGCATCATACCCACAGTGACATCCTACTGTCAGCAATATTATGATACCCTTACTACTTGATCTCCCAGGACATCTAATTACTATCACAAAGTGCAATGCAATACATTTGGTAAATTAGTTGTGGAGAGTTTCTTATTGATTATGTGTACAATGGGGAACAAGAGTATTTATTAATAGCGTCACATATGCCTTCCTGCCCTCTTCACGGAACCCCGCTGCATCAATAGGATGGTATTGATTCATTGTCTGGACTCAGCCACAGAATTCATTCTTCAGGATAAAGTTGTGAAAAAAATGTTATGAGGTATTTCTCTGCATTTCAATATACCAACACTGCTGTTTTGGACCCACTTGGAACGGACATCCTAGTAACTGAAATACTATCACTGGTATATTCCAGTCCTTTGTTTTGAAATAGTTTTCTTCCTGTAAGACTATATATAGATATCCACAGCTAAACAATGAAGACTGACTATAGACACATCCTCTTACATGCTACACCATAAAGGCTGTCACTGCTCAACAAGGGCCTGGGTGGCAGCAGTGGTCATTGTAAAGAGTGAGTATGGCTGTATGGCTGTTTGAGCAATATTCCAGTGATTACACAGCTGGCAACACCATAAATGTGCTCCATACATTGAACTACCACATGGGAAATCAAACCAGGGTTTTGATGATCAAGCACTTCAACACTGGTGGAATACCCCAGTGCCCCAGAAGTAGCAATAAATATTAGTCTCATTAGACTGGCGTGAAACCTTTGGTGCTAAACACAGGTATACCAAATTGGTAATATCCAGCCAGCTGGAGTCAGTGTCCACAGTGTTAAAGGTATCCCAAGACAAGTAGAAGGTCTGGCTTTTTAAGGGTACTACAGGGACAATCCTAGAAATAATCACCTATGACCAACATTTCCCCTTGTCCACAAGCAATTAAGTTGTTTTCTTAATAAGTTGAGATATATACAATGGAAACTGTCTTGCTTATTGTTATTATGTAAATAATGATGTACTTAATGTTACTAGATTACATAGATGTATCCTCGCATGTCCTATATCAAGCACTAATTATTCCAATTAAATGTATAAAAATATGTGTATATTATGGGATAACAAAAGCATCATGACCTGAAACTAAATACTGATTCCATGAATATTTATGTATTTCTATTCATTGTCTACTTTAGGAGGAATAGTTGTGAGTAGAATTATCGATCATTTCAGAGAGGTTCACCATGATCAACTGTTCATTTCATAGGCATGTGAAAAATAAAACTCTGCTGTTATAAAATTTCCAGGCTTTTAATAATGTGTGTTCAGACGGTAATTGTATATACTGAAAGAGATGAGACCTGAAAATTTGACTGTTGTAAATGGTGATACAGTTTGTGGCTAAAATATATTATTTACTTTCAAGAATGATATTTTATGAAGTTTGCATTCTTGATTCCCCCTTACAACTACTTCCAATTATTCCTGAAACATTTAATTTTCTACAGATTACAAACACCAGCTTACACTACAGTTTCCCCAGGAGCAAGACAAACATGGTGCCAGCCATGAATGCCTTACTGAAGTGCACACAAGACTGATAAACAAACTTCTTATCTTTTGATAAAGGTTACAGCTAAAGCTGGGTAGTGAGCATGATAGAATGGTGAAGGTATAGGTTTAGTTCTGACAGAAGGTAGGTAAAAACCTTCCACACACATATAGTGCAAGTAGGTGATGATTCATGACCCACTTCAAGATTAGGCTCAGATTTACGATCAGTTCACCAGGAAATGTGAGCACAGGGCAGACAGGACCATGTATGAGTTGTATACATGTTGTGAGCCAGTGGATATGGGATGTCTGTGTAGGAACATGGACACACTGATACCACCATCTTGTGCAGCTGTATCAGCCCCAGCCATTGATTGATAACAGTAGAATTACAACACCACGGCCAAAGGTTAGACTAAACAAACCACAACCAACTGTATCAAAGTCACAACGCTGACACTATCTCCACATCAAGCCCTGCAATCAGACACTCTTCAAAGAGCTAGAATTAAGAAATTCACTCATACAGAAAGGTTCAAAAGAGTAGAAAATTTACTGAAGCTTTGGAGAAAAATGTCTGCAGCTTAGGAAGCTCTTTCGATCAATGAAACCTACACTTCAGACAAAACTGTTTACCTTACATATCATAACTTTATCTCAGATTGTTGCAATGTTGGCAGTGTCCCACATAAGCTTAGCTCTAAACCTACCTGTCAAACTGACATA